CCAGTTCTACACCATCTACCTGGAGACGGTGTCCGGTGCCACAGGCTGGGGACTCTGTCTGCCTCCCTCGAGAGGCTGGTGGCCAGCCCCAGGTGGTCTCTGTGCTTCTGACCGACCGACTGAACATTGGTTTCCACGTCCCGTTGGATCTATTTGCTCAGTGCCCGCAGGACTCGGGAAACACGGGGGGTCAGTGGTTTATGATGAAGGAGAGGAAGAGGCCTCCAGGATCACCCCGCTATCCGGAGGCCTTGGGACCCTGTCCTGGGCTCATGGATTGGGTGAGGACCCTGCGAGACCTGTCTGTTCCACACTTCTTGGCCTCTCCTGCAGCCTCCCTGCCTCCAGGGTGTGGGGCAGGAGCCCTCTGGAATGAGGAGGGTCCTCATGGGCTCTGACAAGGTGGGTCAGGGAACTTGTCTGTGGCCAGTTCTAAGGCAGAGAGCCGGGAGGATCAGAGTTTCTGTGACCCACGTGGGGAAGAGAAATCTGGACTCTTTGGCGGGCCTCGGGAAAGGAGAAGAGCCGATTCGCAGGGACAGAGGAGCTCGGGGCTCACTGCCCTGGGGGGTGGGGGGACACGGGGAATGACCGTCTGATGGGTGTGTGGATGGAAGTGGATGGGGCCAGGGTGTAGGTGAATGTATTTAATGTCCCTGAATTGGGCCCTTAAAAATGGTCAAACTGCTAACTTTTACATTATGCACATTTTGCCACAATTAAAATAAATAAATAAAAAAAGGGACCAGCAGGAGATGGGAAAGAGGACAACTTTTCCACGGTGGCTCGGCTCGTAGGAAAGGCTAGTGTAGGTTGACAAAGTCTGGGGTCCAGCCCATGGATTGGGTGGGTGGGGTGCAAGGGCCTCTCTGGAGGCTGGGTGAGTTATTTATTTTTTTCCTACCGCTGAGCCACATCCCCAGCTTTCTATTTTTTAAATCCGAGACAGGTTTCACCAAGTTGCTGGGCCTGGCCTGGAACTTGCGATCCTCCCCACTGGATGGAATCACAGGTGCCAGGCAGGAGCAGGGGATTCTGATGTGACCCAGGCTGAGAACTCAGGTCCTCTCTGGGGCCCTGAGGGCAGGGGTGCCCCTCACGTGTGGCCCTGCTCCTGCTGCTCGCAGAGAGTTGAGGTGACGGGGGACGTGCTGGGCAGATGTGTGGGTTCTTCTCATTCTGCAAAGAAGCCAAACAGCAAGATCTCACCTCTCCCCGGCTGATGGATCTGGGGCAAGCGTTGTGCCCTCTTGGAACCTCAGTTTCCCCATCTGTGAGATGGAGCAGTATGGCTGACCCTGCAGAGCGGAGGCCTGGTTGTCCCGGGTGCTTCACGAATGTGGTGATGTTTCCTGCAAGTGGCCATAAGAGTCTGCCTTCCTCAGGTCTGACGTCACTTTCATTCTTCGAACGGACAGTGAGTGCACCTACTGTGTGCTGGCTGTTCTGGGGCTAGTGAGATAACCAGATGAGCTTCCTGCCCTCTCGGCACTTGGTCTGCAGAGGGAGAGACAGATTGAGGACGAGGAAGCACACATCTGTGATTAAACTTTGTCATGGGTCTGTGAAGGAGGTGACTCGGTGTAGGAGAGGGAAGCTGTGTGTGCGCCTGTGGAGGTGGGAGGTGGGCCAGGCAGAAAGCACGGGAGGTGCAAAGGCCCTGAGGAAGAACAGAGCCAGGTGTTGGGAGGACTGAGAGGAGCCAACCTCCTGTGTGTGGCCTTGGGTCCTGAGTGAAGGGGACAGGAACAGTATGAAGGCTGAGATGAGGACAGAGGCCAGGTCACGCAGGGACCCCCCTGGGCTGCCTACCTCCTAGCGCTCTCAGACCCCCTCATTGGCTGTATGTCCTGGGCCTTTGAAGTTGAGAGAACACTAGTGTGGGGGGCTGGTGAAGGCCAGGCCTGGGCCCTGGCCTGGGGGCTCCCTCACCTCCCAGCTGCACCCCAGCTTTCCACCGAGTAGGCTCCAGAGCAGCTGCTGTGCTGCAGTGCTGGGCAGATCATCAGCCTCCCGTGCCCCCGTTTCCCCGTCTGTGAGACAGGGATGGCAGCATCCGTGAGTCGTAGCAGAGGGCTGGGGACAGACACGGGGCATCGTGAGCGGTGTTAAGAGACTCTGTGCGTCTTGGAGCCCGACAGCTGGGCTTGCATCCCGCCCTCTGTTGGCCAACATATTTATCACCAGACGGGGACGGAGCTGGTCTTAGGTCCCTCCTTCCACTCTGAGTGACAGAAGAGAGTAAAATCACAGCAGGGCAGATGCGCCGTCTTGCTGGCTGCCCATAGCCAGCCTTCTTAGCACCAGGTGCAGATTAATTGCTTTAATTCTCACAGCAGCTCCGAGCACCATAATCACTCCCGTTTTGCAGACAGGGAGACTGAGGCTTGCGGGGGGAGGACAGCATGGGTCCAAGCCTGGAGTCCTGTGCTGCCAGCCCTGGAGGCAAGCAGATGGCACGGCTGGCCCCAAGAGCCCCCTGGGGGCTGCCACGGAGGAGGGGGCTTCTTAGCCGGGGCCTCCGAGGGTCAGCAGTATCCACTGTGATACCAGGTGTGTGTGGTGGCTGCGGAGTGGCAGGACCCTGGTGCTCCCTGGCAAGGTCCAGGCTCCTGAGAGGGTGGCCAGGGGCCAGGCACTGGAGGGAAGGAGAGCGCCTTTTAAGGAAACGTTTCTCTGCTTTAGGAGGAGAGAGAGTGAGACAAGCCACACTCAAGGACATGACCAAGCCAGGGCTGGCCGGCCTGGGGGCTGGGGGCGGTGGGGGGCCGGGTCAGACCCTCGGCTGGGGGGACGCTCACCTCTTGCCCTGGGACCCAGGTTCTTAGAGGATGTCTTTGCTTGGGGACCAGAAAGGGGCTGGGTCAGGACCCCTGGACCAGCTCTTCCCATGGCCTTAGAGTGGGTTTGGGAACGAGACCCTCCTGCGTGTCTGAGACTGCCCCCGCCTCCGGCGCACCCTCGCCCCACCCTGCTTCCCCAGGGCCTCCCCTCGGGGTGGAGGCCTGGCCTCCCTCCTGTGGGGAAGGGACCAGGCCCTTTTCCTGCCCTCGGTCCTGCAGGCAGGGTCCCACAGCAAGGCGCCGTCCTGTGTGTGGTGCCCGCTCCCCCAGGACCTGAGACCCTTGGTGACAGAGTGAGTCTGGGGAGACGACCCTGGGGTCGGACCCATGACTCAACCCTCCCGTCCCCCATCACAGTGGGGGTTGGGCTGTGCCTAGCAAGGACAGCAGTGTCCCCTGCGGCTGAGACCGTGTCTGGTGGGCGGGGCAGGCAGGGGGTCCTGCAGGCCATAGGCAGCTCCGGGGACCTTCTCTTCCCTCGGTGTCTCCCTCCACCCCATCCCCAGGCCTAGTTCCCTTAGGGACCTCCTCTGAAATGTCACTCACGGTTCCTGCTTGGGTGTACTGAGAGCCCCGCTTCTGGGAACAGCGTCTCCGTCTCTCCTCATTCTCCTGGAAGTGGGGCCCTGGTTGATGAGCCCCACTTCACATCTTGTCCTGGGAATCAGCCTGCCAAGGCTTAAACCCCAACCACTTTTCAGCTGTGTGGCGTTGGGCAGGTTGTTTAACCTTTCTGTGCCCCACTCACATCCCTCACTGGGGATATGACAGTATCTACTGAGTTATTGAAAGAATTCCATGAGTAAAGCATTTATTTAAAGCCTGTCACTGGGACATATTCAGTAAGTACTGATATTATTCGTGTGTGTGTGTGTGTGTGTGTGTGTGTGTGTGTGTGTGTGTGGCGGGGGCATCTGGTTCTGTCCTGGCCAACTGTTGAGTGAAAGAATCAAACATCAAGACTCAACTGAGGCCCTTCTGCTGGAGAGTGAGCTGGCCGTCACGTGACTGGCCCAAGAACCCGGGGACGCTCACTCTGGCTCCTCCGTCCCCACAGAGCTTGGACACAGTCACCCGGGCGTCCTCGTCTGGGCTGGTGTGTGAAGTCCGGAGAGCCCTGTGGGCTGGCAACACCGGTCAGGTGGAGGGGGCCAGCCTGGTGGCCATTGCGCAGCCAGTGGCAGTGGGGACCTCACGTCAGGCAGCACGGGTGGTGGCCAGGAGGGGCTGCCCTCTCTTTGGCCACTCAGGGCTCGTGTCCAGACACGCTGATGCCTGAGGGACAGCGCCCTTCCGTGCCCTGTGTGGGCCCCTTGCCTGGTGCTTGGGTGGGGAACTGGAGCCAAGGTGGAGCTCTGAGATCCAAGAAAAATGTGTCCAGCTAGAAAGGAGGGGCCCAGGCGGTCTCTGATAAATTCCCACACAAGTGTCAGGGTGCGGGCTTGGCGGCCTGGCCTGGCGAGGGGCCAGAAGGGAGAGAGCCCTGGAGAGGGGAGCCGGCCTGCCCCTCGCCCCCCACCCCCATTCCTCCACGTCTGGGGGCCGGGCTGCCAGGTCCTTCTCCAGATCAGGGGGGACAGGAGGAGATGAAATCCATGAAGACACCCGCGGCCTCTGTGGATGAGCCTGCAGGCCTCCGGCCGGAGCGCTTCCCGCATTCTGGGAAACTTGGCCGGAGTCAAGGTCCTGCGGTTCTCACTTTGGGTGAGATGCTCTGGCACTGGGGAGAATCCAAGGGGGTGACTCTTCCTTCTCTGGAGGTCTTCTCGGGGCTTCTCGACATTTTACCCGCTGCAGACAGACCGACGGAATGCAAAGGAAAACCAACCGTAGTCCGAATCCCGTGAGCCTCTGTTGTTACGGTGCTGGCGTGTTGGCCTCCAGCCTCCCAGGTCTGGTAGTTTGGGCGTCATTGTAATGGTGACATGCGCTCCATCAGACTTGCCATCTGCGTCCCCTCCTCCTCCCCAGGTGCCACTGCCTCAGCATCTCTCTGTGCTCTGGTCGCCTTTTGAGGTGCCCTCCTCCAGGGAGGGATCATGTGTGCCTGTAGGGCCGGGGTGTCTCACATGGAGGTGGCGCGTGCAGTGACCTCAGGAGGCCCGGGTCTGTGCCCATGACAGATGCTAACCTGCCGTGTCTCTGCTCCTCCCACAGGTGGCTGCCCCCTGCATTCCTCCGTCCAGCCATGAACTGGTGGTGAGTGACAGCCGTGCCTTCCCCTGCCGGCCCCTCCTGCAGCTTGTGTTGGCCCCGAGTGTGCTGCGGACCGAGTGCCGGGCCGTGGTGGGAGGAGAGGGGTCAGCGTCCCTGGGCTGAGGCTGGACGGGGAGGAAGTGAGTCATGAGGTCTCTTCTGATGAGATGCAGGGCCTGCTATGTCCAACCTCGAGACTTCAAGTCCTTGGAAAAACCCATAAAAGGGCATCTTGTACGTCTCCAGGCCTGGCCAGGTGCCTGTTGTCCCAGGGCTTCGAGGACCAGGGGGTGCCATGGCATCCTCTTCAGTCTGCCTGTCCCGGGTCAAGTGCCCTTCACGAGAGGCAGGGGGCTGGATGACACCATCCAGCCAGTTTCCACATCCAGGTGACCTCTGTCCCTCCCCTGAACTCCTTGGCTCGACTGCACTTTTCTGCCCTCCTGACATTTCCCCACCTCCTCCCCCGTCAGGTTTCCAGAGCAGGCTGGACAGGGGCAGGCCCCGCGGGCTGTGCTCAGGGCCTTGCTGTCGACGGGTCCCAGCTGGGCCGACTGGGGTTGTGGGCAACGCTTCCTCCCCGCCCCTCTTAGGCCTCACAGGTCCCCCTGGAGCGCAGGGGAAGGGGTCCCCACATGTGCCCGCGTGTCCTGGGGGCACCATGGGTACACATCTGACGGGCTGCTGCGGGGTGTCTCTGGCGATGCTGATGTTGGGGGGTCCTGGGCAGCTGTAGCCATCCCGCCTACCAACGTGGCCACTTGCTCAGCCCTGACTGGGCACACAGTCAGGCCACGTGATCTCCTTTTGCACCCACATCCACTCGCTATGTGAAGGTGGGCTGGTCCCCCCCTTTCTGTTTGGACCTTAGTTTTCCTTTCTGCCCCAGAGAAGGGGGGACCGGACCCTCCCATGGCCTCTGGGCAGACGCGTCCCCTGCCTCCCTGTTCCCTGGTGGTCCAGGGTGTGTCGCTCTTCTCTGCCTGGCCCAGGCCCTATTTTCCTTCCCTGCAGGTCCTTCGTCCTGGCTCACTAGGGTCGGACCCCCTCCCCCGGGCCTCCGCCGCCTGGCCTTGTGCTCCAGATGGGAGGTGTTGGTCGCACGGAGCCTGGCCGAGGTCATCTGGCAGCAGCAGGGCTCGGGGGCCAGAGCAGCCTGGCCTGGAACTACCAGAGACCAGCCTCTCAGGGGTCACAGACGGCCACTGGCCACCCGTGGGAGCCTGAGGGGGGTGGGTGGGGAGGCAGGAACACGTGTCTCTCCTCATTCCTGCTGAACCTCCACCCTGTGGCCCAGAACAGAATGTCCTTGGCAGGTTGGGGAGGTTAGGGTCCACGGTAGGGACCACCAGGCGAAGCCAGCTGTGTGGCCACTGGGAGTCTGAGTTTTGTTTATGGGAGGCAAGGTCAGGGGCCAGGACAAAGGGGAATAGGTTGGCATTCCCGCTGAGGCGAGGCTCCGGAGGGGAGGGAGCTGGCCTGCCCGAGGGAGGCCCGGGGAGTCCGCGTGTCTCTGGGGTGGGCTCCACCTGTGGAGGGGGCTTCTGACCCCCAGGAGGTTGGATTGGGCACCCAGCGGTAGAGCGGTGGCGTCACCCTGCTCCTCGGCCTCCGCGCCTGGGTCAGAACCCAACTCCCCATCAGTGGTTCAGAGCCAGGGAATTCCATTTCCTCTCTCTGGATCCTGCTCCCTGCTCCCCTCGATCCCAGGTGCTTCTCCCCCATTCCCTAAGTTCAGGTGTGTGACCCTGAACCGAAAGCTCAGCCTCTCTGATCCTCAGGTTTCCTTCTTTAGAATGGGTGAAGAATAAAATGAGCAAAGTCACCCACTGGGCCTGTCCAGCCCTACGTGACAGGTCCCTCTTCCTTCATCTTCTTTTAGCAGTGTCTCCCTCCCTCCCTTTGCAGCCACCCGGCCGTTCTGCTGATCCTTGAACCTACCAGGCCCGATTCTGCCTCAGGGTCTTGGCACCTGCTGTTCCCTCTGTCTGGAATGCTCTTCCTGCAGATACCTGCAGGGTTCTTCATCGGGTCCTCCCTCAAAAGTCAGCCTCGTCTTTCTTCCCTGCTTTGGTTGCCCCTTAGACAAATCCTCCTCTGATTCACCACGTACTTTACTCTTTATCTTTGTAAGGGGCTCTGCCCACTCCAGAGGTCAGTCTTTTGTTGGTTGGTTGCTGTGCCCCTGCTTTCTTGCACACAGTAGGTTCTCTACTCGTGTTTACTGAAAGGCCGGCACCCAGCCTGATGCCTGGCACAGGTTAGGTCTGCCACACCAGGAGCTGGGGCACTGTGGCCGCCAGGGGCTGTGGAGTTCTGCCCGTGGGACCCACATCGGGGGCAGCTGTCCTTAGCTGACGCTCTGTTGCTGTCCCCAGAGTGGGAAAGTGGCCCAGGGGAAACCAGGGGAAAGTGGCCCCCAGCACTCAGCACCTGTTTCCTCACGGCCAAGTGCTTTGAACAGGTTCACAGGAGGGAGGAAAGGGCGGGTTTGTATTTTTCCTTCCTTTTCCATTCTCTGCCTGCCCTCCGGTCTCAGCAGGGCTGCTCTGCGGCCTCCCTGCCCCCTCACAGGGTGCGTCTGTCCATCTGTTGGTCTGTCCTGTTTTCTCCCTGGCTCCCTGTGACCCCAGCTCTCCTCGGCCTTCTCTCTGGTCTTGTTTCAACCCGCCCCCTCCCCCCAGGATTAGCGCCCCTCATTTCTGGACCCGCAATTTCAGCCCAGCTCCGGGCCCTGCTGGCCAAACACATTTTCCAGCCCGTGCCCAGGCCGTCAGGGCAGAGTGGCTTAATCTTCAACCCCTTGTTTTCGTCTTACTCAACAGATGTTGCCCAAGTACCTGGGTAGAAGGGTCCTAGGGTCGGCCCCCTCCTGGGCCCATGGGGAGGGGGGGCAGGATGCACGAGGGGAGGGCTTGTTTGCCATGGACACTCCTGATCCTTGGAAAGAGCTGAGGCAGCTCTTCTCAAGTTCTGGAAAGTAAGAGTCGGAGGAATTTCCCTGTAGCAGTAGCCAATGGAGTGGCCACCAAGGTCGTCAGCTGCCAGGACCTTCTGCCCTTGCAGCCTGGCACCCAGGAGACCTGGGCGAGGGGGGCAACAGTGTGCAGGCCGCTTCCCTTGGACAGGCCAGCCCATGGCGGGGGTGCAGGATGTCCTTGTGGAATGACTTGGAGGTAGGACTGAGGAGTGGGAGGGGGAAGAGGGGGATGGGGGACGGGGACTGTCAGTCAGACTGGTTTTACCCACACAGTCATAGAGCAGGGCCTCCCCTTATCCAAGGTTTCATGCTCCTTGATTTCGGTTACCCAAACTCAACTGAGGACCAAAACTATTGAACGGAAAATTCCAGAAACAAACAATTCCCACATTTTAAATTGGGTGCTCTTCTAAGTGGTATGGTACAATCACTTGATATTTGGCTCTGCCCTACCAGGGACACTAGTCATCCTTATGTCCCGTGTATCCACACTGTATAAGCTACCTGCCCGTTAGTTACTTAGTAGCCATCTTAGTTATCAGATCAACCATCATGATATTGCAGTGCTGTGCTCAGTGGCCCTTTTTTCCCCTCCATAATGGGCCCAAAGCCCAAAAGTCGATGCTGATCGTTTGAACATACAAAAGAGCAACCATAAAGTGAGTCCTTTAAGCAAAAAGGTAAAAGTTCTTCATGTATATGTAGGATTCAGTGCCATTCATGGCTTCAGGCATTCATTGGGGATCCTGGAACTCTCCCCATATGTGAGGGGGTCTTTTATTACAACGACAGTGAAGTGCTAACCCTTTTGTGGACCTTTGTTGCATGTTTTTCAAAATAAACTCTCTTAATCCTGACAGTGGCACAAAGGAGGGGCTCTGTGCTTTATCCCTGATATCTGGGATGAGGAACGGAGGCTAAAGGCTGCAGACCTATTAAAAGGGAGAGTGGGATTTTCACTCAGCAGTCTGCCACCAGGGTCCACCCTCCTAACCACTAATAATGACAAACGTCACTTGTCATTTGCGTAGCACCCGCAGTTTTCAAAGTCCTTCCCATGACATGAGGTCACTGGAGACCTGGGCAGGCCCGAGCCCATCCTGGGCAGGCGGGAAGAGCATATTGTACAGTGGAGCAAACTAGGGTTCAGGAGAGGTCGGTGTCTTGTCCATGGTCACACAGCTAGCATGGCAGGGGCTGGATCGCGAGCACACCCTGGTCTGCTTTCTCCCAGGTACCCCAGAGCCTGCTCCTGATGTAAGAACCTTGTGTTACCAGGTGCTGGGCTTCTCCTGTCCCTCTTTCTAAATAGCTAGCTTCTCTGTTAGCTAGTGGGCTTTGGGAGAGGGTTTGTCTGTCTATCCACCTACTATGTGCCAGCCAACATGCTAGGGCTGCACTGTTTTTTCCTTGCCAGAGTTGCCAGGACTTCTTTTCTAAGAAAACACACGGGCCCTAAGATTTTAAAATGACCTCCCCAAGGTTCCCAGGGTTGGATCAGTACTCGCTGCCCCATGGAAGAACAGTGGGGTGCTGACTGCTCTTGGAGATCGCTCATGGCCTGCTGTCCATCCAGGATGGAGATGGCCGTGTTTCAACCTGGGCCAGATGCATTTCACTCCAGGGCACTGAGTGGCCATGGGCGGTCATCTTTGGGGAATCCTGGAAAATGGAGCCATGTCAAGAGAGGAGCCTGACCAGGGGATCCCCAGCGTGGGGAGGGAGGTTGAACAGCCCACCTCGTGCCTCCCCTAGGGCCAGTTATTCCCAAGCGGGGACATGGGGCGGGTGCAGAAGGCAGGTGGGAATGTGTTATGGGGCCAATGGACTTGTCCTTGGTTGTACCCTGAAGCAGAGCCTCGTAGGTTTCACTAGAAGATTGTTGTGAGCAAGAGGAGATTTGGGCATAAAGCTGAGTTTCTTAACATTGAAAATGGCCCACCAGGCTGTCCAGTGTCCACTGATGGGTGGACACGGGGGGTGTGAGGCCCAGTGGGGACGCCTCCCCTTGGGGGCTGCCTATGGGGAGTCCTTAGTCTGCCTCTGGCCTTCCCTGAAGCTGGGTTGTGCAGGGCCACTGTCCCTGGAGGCCAAGGCCTCCCTGACCATGCTGACCACCTCCCCTCTGGCCACCCTGGAAGAGGCCCACGTGGGAGCCCTGCCCTTAGGGAGCCTGCGACTCATTTGGAAAGAGAGGGAGAGCTATACCGTGGACGTTCCTCAGCGCCCAACTCCCGGGCCTCTGTTCCGAGGTAGCCTTGGGGTTTCGGGGAAGAGCTCTTCACTTGCGCTGCAGTGATTGGGCGGGCTGGCCTTCTGTGGCACGGCTGGTTTAAGATCTGAGCCAAAAAAAAGGCAGAAGGGAAGGAGGAGGTAGGGCATTCCAGAAGTGGTAGGTTGGAAACAGACGGGTAGGGCCGGGTGCAAATGACTAACCCTGGCCGACTCCAGCCTGCTGTCACTGGGGAAGATGGGATTGGGCAGCCTTGAGTATCATACAGGTGGCCCTGGCTGGAGCTGGGGGACAGCGAGTACAGGAATGGCATTGGGGTGAGTGTGGCATGCACGGAGGAGGTCCGCCAGACGGGGAAGTGGCCAGGTTATGCACGAGTCCACAGCCAGGTCGGAGAACTTGAACTTGATGTACTAAGCAGTAAGGGCCATTATGGGTCCTTGAGGGGGGAAGTGGCCCAAAGCAGGGTTGGAGCTGGCCATCTGTTGCCAGCTGTGGTGGCCCGGGGGGTTGGGGGTGGTGTAGGGCAGGCCAGCGGAGGCTGGAGCCGATGCCCAGGGGTGCAGAGGCTTCAGACAAGAGTGGCCAGGGCCTGGGAGAAGGGTGGGGGAAGCTCAGCCCTGCAGCGGGGAGAGCAGGGGAGCAGCGTCCTGGGGCTGCGTGGAGAAGGGTGTGCAGAATATTCCAGCCTGGCCCTGGGCCAGGGCTGGTGGAGGTGCCCCGGGTTGCCCAGCGCCAGTCAGGATTGGGTGCTGGGCCCCTGGGGCACGGGCGGAGGTGCTGAGGACAGGAGTGGGCTTGCCCAGTCCCTCCCCCGTGGGGGTGTCGGGCATAGCTTTCCACTTAATCACGTTGGGCCTGTTCTTTTCCTCTGGTGGCCCTGGCCTGCCTGGGAGCAGACAGCCCTGCAGCAGCTCCCCGTGCCCTTCGTCGGCCTCCTGGCCACCCTCTGCGGCCCGCCTGCCTGTTCAGCACCGTCCCTCAGTCCCCTGCCTTTGCTGGCCCACCGCCTCCTTGGCTCCCACTTCCTCAAGGTGGAGGGAGGTGGGGACACAGGTTTGGAGGGACAGACCTTGGCTCCCGAGGAGCTGGCCAGAAACTCAGTTGGCCAGAAGAGGATCAAAGTGCTCCTTCTCAGGCCCCGTGACGCAAAGTGACAGGATGCCCCCGAGGAGGAGGCACAGAGCATTAAGTGACTTGTTGCGATGGCTGTTGAGAGTGGCCTTGAGAGGGCCACTGCACAGGCCCAGCCTCCGACTCACGAGTGCCCCGTTACTGCCCTCCAGCCCCCTCTCTTCTGCTTGGTTCTATTTCTGGAACAAGTGAGCCTGGAATAACTTTCTCTGGGTCCTGGTCTGAGCGCCCCGTCCCCCCCCCCCAGCCTGCCCACTGGCCTGGGCTCCTTCCCTCCTGATGGGCAGTGCCAGGTGACCTCACAGTTCATCCCCATGGCAGTAGATGTGATGTCACGGGGTCTTTTGGGGCCCCCCCACAAAACTGCTTGGATTCCAGGCCTCCCAAGGGACAAGAGTAAGGAGAGCTGGCGGGGGGAGGGCGTGAGGAATTCTGGACGGAATGTTCCTCTGGAGGCTGAGTCCGCATTCTGCGTCCCCCACCCCCACCCCTGGACTCAGGCTTGGGCACCGCCCCCCATGCCCCAGCCTTTTCCTTCCTCCAAAACAGCTTCCCACAGATGCATTTTTCCCAGCCCACCCTCTCTGCAGGCCACCACGGGTCCTACTGCAGGAACCCCTAGGCAGTCACCTCAGCAGTCCCCGCCTGCCATCTCGTCACTTAGGCCCCTCTGGGTCCGCACAGTGGGGGAGGGGTGGAGCATGATGGAGAGGGCGCCTGTGTCTTTTTTTGGGAAAAAAAATGAGGAAGGGATGTTGAGCTTCCCTTATGGACCCGAGGTTCCCAACCCTCCAATTCAGGAAGTGCTCTCTGTGGTCTGATCTCACTCCCTCCTGCTGTAGAAGGAGGGAGAAGGAGTCTCTTCCCAGGGAGGCCCTGAGACCAGGGAGTGCTGCCACTGGTCTCTTCTAGCTGAAGAGAGAGAGTTTGTTCCCCAGAGAAGGGCAGCTGGCGGCGAGAGTGAGAGGGACAGAGGAAGATTAGCACCAGCAAGGGGAGGGGCAGCACGGGTGGTCTGTGAAGAGCAAGGGTCACACGCCAGCTCTCCTTGGTGACTGTGTGGCCTTGGGCAAGTGGCTGAGTCTCTGGGACCCTCGGTCTCCTCATCTGTAAAATGGGATACTGCTGACCTCCCGGGGAGACTAGGAGAATTGCTGGTCAGGGGAGCCGGGGCGGACGCGGTGTCCAGGGCTTCTTCAGCGCTGGGTGAGGGGGTGTTATCTGCTTTAACTTTATCTCATCTCAGGACTGGGGGAGGGAGGGGAGGCGCCTCAGGTGCAGGATCCAAGGAGGCATGGCTCCCGGGATTGGGCGGACGTGCTGGCAAGACCTGAGAGGGATGCCTCCTTAAATGTCATGCCTAAGTCATTGTCACCGAGGCCACCTTGCTCCAGACTCCCTGTTTGGAGACCCTAGAGCGGGTGGTCCACGGAGAGGGGGGACTGGCTTCTAGGTAGCACCAGTTCCGCACCTGCCACCTGCCCCCAAGGTGGATTCTGAGTCGGCCGGCTGGAGTCAGGGGTGCTTTGGGACGGTCCTGTGGGGCGGGGAGTCACTTGGGGAAGACTGGGGTCCTTAAGTTGCAGGTTTGGTCCCAGGAGTGGGTGGGGTGTGGTCAGAGGGAGGGCGCTGTCCCTCCCCGGGCTCCATCTGCATCTGCCCTCTGCAGCCGAGCTCGCGGGGCCCAGTCTGTGGGTTGACTGGGGACTCGGGGTCAGCGGCAGTGCCAGGAGCTTGGCAGGGTGCTCCGCCAACCTGGGAGTCAGCCCCGGCTGTGCCATGCACCTCACCACATGACATCTGTGGGTCGTCCCTTTCGGCATCTCAGTGTCCCAGTGGTGGAGCAGAGGAGGGAGGGGATGAGGTCTCAAGACCCTGTGATGTGGCGTGAGAGATGTCCTGCGTGTGCGTGTGCGGCAGGTGTAGAAACTAAGCAAGGGTGGAGGTCCAAGGTCCTGGGCAGCCAAAAACTACCCAAAGATGGAAGTTGAGGATCCCTAGGGTGCCAGTTGTGTGGCCAGTGAAGGGTCAGCATGGTGGTGAGGGCTCTCTGCGTGCCAGGCACTGTTCTAGGCTCTGGGAGTGGTAGGGAAGCGGCTTATATTTTAGTGAAAGGGTGACAGGCAGGGCTCAGTGGCTCTCTGCAGCCAACTGAACTCTGGGGCTGTTACTCAGCTCAGGCGACCACAGCTCTGGGTGGCTGATAGCTACCCAGTGGCCCCTGTCTCCCTGCAGGGCCCAGGATGTGGTCTAGAGGGAGACCGTGGCCCTGGGACTGGCAGGGTGGGAACAGAGGGACAGACTTCAACCCCGGGAGCTTGTGCCGGGGGCTGGGTGTGCTCTCGCTGTGGGAGGGGCTCTGGTGTTTAGGTCAGGAGGGGCTCTTGGAAATTTTTAGCTTCTCAGAAAGCATGCCTCCGAAAGATGTGGAAGGCATCTGATCTCTGGCAAGTGTCACCCTGTGGCCGGCCTCCAGCTGGCAAGGGGAAGGGTGGGGACAAAGGGGCTGGTGCTCGGATGATCCCCGGCAGGAAGAGAAAGCTGCTCTTTCTTTGCTGAGGCCTGCGGTTTCTCGTATTGACTCTGCACCCCTCCCGTCTGCCCCCTGCCACACTCCTGCTGGCAGGAGGGTCCGGATGGCTTTGGGGTCTGTGGGGTGGCCCCAAGGCTGAGAGGATAAACAGTAGCCATGGCCAACATGCACTGAGAGTCCCTTGCCCCAGGCTCTTTGAGCCTAACCCTTTGGTCACCACAGAAGAACCCTAGACAGCCACTAGGGGCAGAGTGGCCCTCTCAGGGTAGCAGCTAGTTAGCAGGAGGGGACCTGGGTGTGGCCCAGGAGGGCTGCAGGCTGCTGGGGTTTCTCAGAGTCACCCAGGGACCTGGTGCAAATGGTCATTCCCTGTCCCTCCCTTTGGGGGAGCTGGACCTCGTGGGTCAGCAGCCCCTGGGCAGGCTTAAGTTTGAGACTCAGGCTCACACCCTGCTGAGACCTGGGCCTCTTAGGACTTCTTACTCAGGGGAGGGAGTGGAGGGGCTCTTCCGGGACCGGAGGGGCCTAGGGCAGGCACTTGGGTTCCTTCCGCAGCCCACCCTCGTCCTTTCTACAGAGGCAAGGTGGCCGAGCGGTCAGCAAGGGCTGTGGAGCTGGGAGCTCGGGCCTCGCCTCTCGCCTCTCATCCCGTCCGTGTTGACTCTGCCAGTGGAACATTCTGGGGTCTGCCTTCCAAGAGCCTCCCGCTCCAGGGGACCAGAGCTGCTCAGAGAGGAAGCAGTCTGGCCATCCTGGTGGACGTGAGGCCTCCACATGAGCATGACAGAGCCCTGGAGAGCAGACAGGGCCAGCGGGCTGAGGACTCCCCAGGGCAGGCGGACCCCTCGTGGAGGGGTGGGTGGGATGGGTTTTCGCAGGAGGCACAACCTGCCCAGGCTGAGCAGGTGGCTCCGAGAGCTCCGGCTGCTGCCCGGCCTGGGCAGGGAGCCCTGGGGATTTGCGGCTGGCCTCATATATGCCCTGCCCAGGGCTCCGGGGCTCAGGAGTGGGGACGTGGGGAGGTGAGTGGTTAGGATTAGGGCTGAGCTGGGAGGGGCAGAAGGTGGCATCTTTATGTCTCCTCCAGAGCCATCCTCGGGCTTCAGGTGGGGACCCCTGAGAGTGGGGGTGGGGCGTGGCTCACGTGTGCACTGTGTCCCTGGGTCCTGTCTCCTTCGCCTCCCTCGCTGCCCTGGCCTCTGACTGCTCAGGAAGCCTCAGCCCCGTCTCCAGGCAGGGCAGGTAGATGCTTCCAGAAGGAGCATGGCTCCCTCCAGTTCAGCCTGCTTTCCCTCTCCCTGCCCCTCTCCGCCCACGGCTCCTCCCCGATCCCCAGCCTTCAGAAGTTCTTGGGTCCATTCCCCTGTGGTCACCAACAGTCATCCCTCCGTCTTGGGAATGGGTCTGGGGACAGCTACTTCCTGTTCTGAGACACACCGTCGTCCACTCTGTCTGGGTGCCTCGTTGCCATGGCTTGTCTCCTCCCCTGCATTCGAGCTCCGGTCCTGCCTGAGTCAAGGACCCACTGCCCCTTCACTGGGCTGGAGAGAGAGCCCTGGACACTGTGGTCAGGAGAAATGGGCCTGGGACAGCAGTTCTCCTTCCTGCTGTGGGGCCCCACTTTTCAGGATGCTTCTGTGGGAAGCTCTTCTGTTGGTTTGGGCAGAGGAAGGATAGCTGCAGGGTGACCAGTCCTCGGGTGTTTAATGGGGACCGCTGCACACCAAGGGCGGTCTCTGGTACAAGGGAGTCCCCCGCTGCACACCAAGGGCGGTCTCTGGCACAAGGGAGTGTTCAACTGAGTTGGTAAAAATGTTGCTTTGAATCTATTTTGGTGGATGATAGAATAAGAATCAGGAACCGATTGTTGGGAAAATAAGGCAGATCATCCCACAGTGAGATCATTACCCACTCCGGACCCAGGAAGTGGCCCAGATGGCCAGGCAGGGTGGAGTTCAGATCTCCCTACTCGGGTGGACTGGGAGGGCTTCCTGGAGGAGGAAACTCTCTCCAGAGGAAAAGAGGGGAAGTCATTCCACCAGGCAAGACCCAGATGTGGGACCAGGCAAGGAGGGTCCGGGTCTGGTGGAGTTCACTAGAGAAATAGGACCCACGCAGGTTTCTGTCCCAGGCTACTGTGACTTCATGCAAAGGGCACAAAGTGTGAGCCTGAGATGGGGGTTCAAATCCTGTTGTTCCCTTTAGAGCTGCTGCTTTGGGGACACTCACTGAATTTCTCATCTGTAAAGTGGGCCTAACAGATCACCATGGTCCTTCTCTGTCTGGAATCTTGTTGTAAATAAATAGTGCAGGTGAAAATGCCCGGCTGTTAGGAGCAAGACCCTCTGTACAGTTGTTCCTTGTTGCATTTTGAGGGGACAGTGGCTGTGTGGGTCAGAGGCCAGCACTGGACACCTGGCGAGGGTCCTTGCTGAAGGCCTGTAGGACTGGATGATTCTGATACTAAGAGGACTGACTTCATTTTCCAAATGTTGCCTCCCAAGCCTGGGGATAGCCAGGTCCCTGTTGCAGCCACCAGCCCTGGGGACGGTATGCCTGAGGCCTCACACTGTTCTCTGCCTTTGTCCACAGCCCATCACCACTGAGAGTGCCCTAAAGAATGTAATGGACACAGTAAGTGACAGCAGGCTGGCTGGGTACCGCGTGTCAGCCTGGGCAAGACGCAGAGGCTGGGGGAGTGCAGGGGGATGTGGCGGAAATTGGACAGACGTGGCTGGGACATCCTGCTGGGGTAGATTTGGTGTTCTTGGGGAAACTGGCGGGATGCTGGTGACCCTGGTGACCCTGGGAGGTGAGCAGGGGGAGGGGGAGGGGCAGCTGGGAGGAAGGGTTAAATGCGGGCTTCTGTATTAACTATGCAGAATGTGGGGAAGCTCTTTCCCAACAGAGCTTTCTGACTTAGCAGACAGACAGACACCCTCAGGGCCCAGCGGGAGAGGAAGGGGGGGCTCTGCAGCGGAGAAACTGAGGCGAGCCCCTGAGAGGGGTCTCCTGGCAGTGGCCAGCATGAAACTCCAGGTTTGGATGGGAGGACTTGAGATCAAATCCCGACTGTGCCGAGGTTCGAATTGTGTGCAGGGTGTGAATGCTGCCTCAGTTTTCTTTTCTGCAAAATGGGAATCAGCATCTCCAGCAGGAGTGTCCTGGGATGGAAATGGGCGGGTTCGGCCAGCTCCTTGGTGAACAGAGACCACACAAGTTTCCAGGGCCCTTCTGCCAACCCCTTCACCCCTGGCACCTCCAGCAGGGGTGGTCGAGATGCCCTCTCTGACTGCCGTCCTTCTGTCTACAGGGAGAAGGAGGCTCCCGGGGTGGAAATTCACGGAAAAGTCTGGAAGAAGAGGTAAGTGTGGGAGGGACAGGAGGAAGTGATGGGGCCCTGGCTCCCTGGGGTGATGGGTGGGAGGTGGACGAGGGCTCAGACCTGTCTTGCCATGTGGGTCTGACGCTCTTTCTAGGGACATGCCTGTGGGCTGGCTAGTGAGAGCAGCGTGGAAGGACGGGGCATGGGCAGAGGCACGGCGGGAGGGACCGGGCTGAGCAGAGGGCCTGGCTCCTAGCCTGGCTGGGCGGGAAGGTGGCAGGGCGCCTCCCTGGAGCCAGAGGTCTCTGGGCATGGCAGAGTCCCCCGTGGGGCTGGAAGCGGGGCTTGCGGGTCCCTGGGCTCTTTCTGCTCTGCATTTTGGTGAGAGGACAGAGGCCAGTTCCCTACGTGGAGGGACCCCGAGAAGGGCGCGGGGCTCTCCGGGAGCCTGCTCTGAGCTGGGTTTATCTCCGTGCCCTCAGGGCAGACCCCACCGAGGTGCTTCTCCGTCCTCCTTGCCCCTCTGACCACGGGCCCCAGGGCTGGCCTCCCCAGCCAGCCTCACCGCCCGCTCCGCGGAGGAACAGGGAGTGGTTTTGGCGGTTGGCACAGGGGGAGCTGTTGATGGCACGAGGCCCTATCATCTGACAGCTGCCTGACCCACGGTGGGGAGGGTGCTGGAGGGAGGTGCTGGGGGAGGTGGGGGAGGCAGCTCCTGCAGGCGGCCACACTCCTGCGGTGAGCCCACGGCCACTGCCACGCTGCCCTGGGGCTGCCTGCGTGCCCAGATATACGGAGCGGAGTTATCCAGAGGCTGCACGGGGCCCCCAGGAAGAGCAGCAGCATGCCTCTTAAGTCGGGGGCGAAGGCTGTGTTCAAGGTGTGTGCGCGAGCTGCCACTGTGGAGGCGTGTATGGGGAGGGGCTTCTGTCCAGGTTTGTCCTGTTCCTGGGTTGGAGGGTCGGGAGAGATTAGTATGTTGTCCTGTGGAGAATGAATTAGCTTTAGGTAGCCAGAGCATATACTATGTGCTCAATAAACGTGAGCCCTTCTTACAACTGCTATTTGGATTAGGGGGAAGGGTGGGCTGGGTGTTTCAGACCCTCCTGACTCCCCTCTCTAGAGGCTGGCCCTATTTTATAGATGAGGAGACAGAGGCGTGGGCCAGTCTGTGAGTGCCACTCCATCCCTTTGTGAATTGTCACTTGGATCTGGTGTCATCCAAGACTCCTGTCCCTTGGCCAGGGGACAGGGTCATAGCCAGTGAACCAAACCATGAAGCTTGGGCACATTTGGAAGCCTAGAGTTGCTGCCCTCTACTTCGATTCTGGGCCAGACAGAGCCTATAAATGACAGCTGCAGCAAGAGAGAGAGGTTAGACATCATGAAGAACTGTTGACTACAAAGTTGTATTTGACCTTGGTGCCTATGGGACCGTTTAGGAAGATGGAAGGCCTTTTATTTTTGTAGGAGAACGTTTTGTTGATCTGGGATGAAGGTGTGTGTGTGTGAGTTTGTGTGTTGGGTGGCTCAGGGTGTTGTCTGGTTTGGAGACAGAAGGGCACCATGAGTCTAGCTGGTCTGGTTGAAGGAGTGTGTGGAAGGAGAGCAGCCTTCCACAGGGGCAGCCCCGAAGACGGCCCGCAGATTGCTGGGGAGAAAGGTCGCTTGGCTCCTGACTCCCGTGGCCACCCTTTCTGACCATTGAGGTGGCCCCCTGGCCGGCCGCGGGCTCTGCTGCTGTCCTCGGGTGAGGAGCCGCCTGCAGCGCCCGGCGGGCTGCTGTGTTAATGCGTCTGTTGTGGAGCTGTCCCCGCCTCTGGCCAGAGGCCCAGGACCAGCGCCGGGAATGGCTGCCCCGCCACCGTCCAGAGCTGGTGCGCAGCGCAGTGTGTGGACAGTGTGCTATGTCGCACTTTGTTTTGGAAAAATCCAGGCTAGTGAGCAGGAAGGAGAGAGGAAGGGATGTGGCTGCAGGGGGCTGGCGTGGAAGTGTGGCCACAGCGCCCAGAGGAGTCGCTGGAATGGGGACAGGCCCTATGTAGGTGGTCACCATCTCGGCTGCCTGGCACGACCCCTCCACTCCCCTGCTCCTTACAGACCCTCCTCTCCACCCCTGGGGACTCGGGGTCAGGAAACAGTTTTTGTTTTGGTCCCCAGCTGTGGTGTATGGGCTGTGGACCTCGAGGAAGGCTGGGCTTCCCGCCCTGGGTGTGTAGCAGGGAAGAGGCAGCAAATAAAGGGGTCTCCAGGGTTGTTGACCTTGAGTCACCCAGGAGTGTCTGAATGAGATCAGACTCGGCCTGCAGGGAGGACCAAGGCAAAAAAAAAAAAAGTTGACAGAGTCTGTAGCAGGAAGGATGAGGGCTAGATACCAGGAGGAACTTCCTGATCATGAGGAAAATAAGACACTGTCTGGGGAAGGCTGTGGAACCTCCTTTCATGGTGCTCTTTTGGCAAAGGAGAGACTGTTTTGGAGATGAGTGTAAGGGAGGGTTCTGTCGGGAGCCTAAGGAGTTGGATCAAAAGTTCTATTATTGGTCTGTGTCTTGGGGGAGGAGCTAGGAAGAAATTCAAAGATACGTGAGTTAAGGACTTTGAGATCCCCAGAGAGGAAAAGAATAGGATCCCAGGCAGCGGGGGACTTATTTTCCTTTCTAAAATAAAGTTGGTGACGTCCTCTAGTCGTTGTCCCCAGGGCTCTGAGTGGGGCAGGTGGAGACCCTGTCAGCGCCGTGCTGAGCCCACTTCACAGATGTGCCATGAGACGGAGCAGCCCTTCCCCCGGGGGCCCCTTGGTGGACAGGGACCTACCCCTCCACTCCCGAGAGCGTGGCCTGCACGGAGCCGGGGCCCCGACAAAGGAACACCCCGGTGATTCATGGGACCCACATGCCTGGAGCCCTGGACCTGTCCCCGGGCCTCTGCAGAAGCCTACGTGACCAGGTGTGCTTCGGCCCCTGGCGGGAGGTCACTTGGGTGTTCTGCCCCGGGGCCGAGCCTCCGCCAGGTCACGTGCCCCGCGCCCTGCAGAAAACAGGAAGCCCCATGGGTTCGAGGGCAGCCCAGTGATTCATCAGGGGATGACAGTCCAGCTGTTCGTCCCCATCCTCTGCCGTGGGGTCAGTGTCCAGGGCAGCTTCCTGCCGGCCTCCCTGCCCCGCTGCCCCGTGGAGCAGAGCAGGCCTGGACTCTGCCTTATCACCTCTGGAGGCGGTGGTGGCCAGACTCTGTTGGGGCCAAGTTTTTATTTGTCTTGCCCGGCTTTTTTTGGGGCGGGGAGGCTGAGGAATGTGGAGTGTCGTAAGGTGGGGAAACGGGAGCCAGTCCCTGGCCCTGCGCCCTCTCCCCACCCCTGCGCCTTTGGAGGCTCCAGCGCCCCCCTGGCTCCCAGTTCCCTGGCCAAGCTCGCCTCCGTCCACCCCATGTCTCCCTCGGGCTCTCCTGGACCCATGTTCCTGGCCACACCTCAGGCCTTGGCTGGTCATGGCTTCCAGTTGTTCGAAGCAGCTGTGGTGGCTTCCTCCAAAAGTGGTTGTGGGTCAGCGGCAGATGAAACCCCAGGGGTTATTTATAGCAGGGTGGCCCTGGGACCTGGAGCCAGGCCCGGGCCTGGGGAGAGTCAGGGACGCCTCATCAGGGACCAGCGAAATGAGATGGATGGAGTGCTGGGTTTCTGCGCTCCTGGGGCGGGTAGGTTTGGAACAGACTGGTTTGGGGCTGGAGAACCAAACACAGCCCTCTACCCCCCACCCCCTGGCCTGACTCATGCAAACCCGCGTCCTGGGGCCAGGAGGGCCGTGGAGGCTGAGGAACTCTCCGCCCAGCAGCCCCACTTGGCTCCTCAGTCCTCGCGCTGTGGTGGCTGCTGAGCCGCTGGGATCCAGAGCAGCCCAGGCGGGCACTCCGGGCACCACCTTGTCCTGCCTGCCTGGGGCAGCTGGTGAAGAGCCCTCTCTCCGCCAGCTGCCCTAACTTTAGGCTCAGCCGGGAGCTGGGCACTGCAGGGCCGGCAGAGGGTGAAGGGGCCCCTGGGTCAGGTCCCAGGTTGGAGAATGGATCCTGCTTGGTCATCAGCTTCCCAGGGACTAGGGGGTGAGTCACTCTGCTCTTCCTTGGCAGACTGGGGTCCTGTCTTCTCCAAGAGCTGGCTGCTAGTGGGTGGTCAGGGAGGGTGGGTTTGGGGAAGGCATGTGGGTACCGTGACACTTGGAGGGCTTGGGCCACCTCGACCCTGGGTGTCCTGATTCTGCATCTTGTGAGGTGGTTGTAAGGGTAGAGGATGCTGGGAGTAGGGGATGCAGGGTTTGGATTTTTTATAGGGGGAACCGTCCCAACTGCCCTTCCAGCAACTTCCCTGTTAGTGGCGCTTGATTCAGTGGCAGTAACGGGAGCACCAGCTGTCATCTGCTGATGCCAGCCATAAGGAAAGGGCGTGGCATGCACGATTCCTTTGCCTCCCCACGCGAGTCTGGAGGGCTGTGCCATCTTACACGTGACATTTCACAAGGCTCAGGGGGTTAAGTCACTCTCAAGGTGGCCCAGTAGGGTGCTGGACCAGAGCCTGGGGTCTGAGGGGCTCTGGTGCTCCGCTCTCAGGGGCTCTGACCCTCTGCTGCCCTGGAAGGTTTGGGGCACCAACTTGGGTCCGTTTGCCTAATCGTGTGCAGTGAGCCACCCAGGAATGGAGAGGGGAGCGGGGTCATAGTCACTGCATTCTTAGGAGTGTGGCTCAGTGCCGTGGCCCTTGGCTCTGTTCGAATGTGACAGGCCTGGCTGTTCTGTCTCAAGACTCTTGGCTGAATGACGGGATGTGGCTGCTTTCAAGGAGGGGAGAGTGTGTGGGATGACAGTGTCAGAGAAGACATGTCCAGAGCTGGACGGGGCACCTCGCCCTCCTCCTCCAGATGCTTTTGGGGTAGTCTGTATTCTTAGGGTCCTACTGCAAGGGTCCGGGAGGTCAGCGGAAAGTGTGTGTCTGTCCCAGTTAATGGAATTTTTGTGTCCCCAGTGCAGGTGGCACCAGCCTGGGAGGGGTGTATTTCTCAACTTTGGGGACTTCTTCCTTCTGTCCCTTTGGGGCTCGCCCATGGGCAGGCGGGCTCACGTGGGATTGGCACGGACTGTTTTTGGCTTCGTGTTGCTGGGTTGCTGAGGCGTCGGGGTGGCAGGGCTGGAATGTTGGCAGAGAAAGGAGAAGAGGCTGTGTGCTTGGCCGCTGCCCTGTCTGCTCCCGCTCACGGCTCTCGGCTGCTCCCCTCCTGCGTCCTGCCTGCCCCCCCGTAATGCTGCGTCTCTTCTCTCTTTCCCAGGGCTCCACTAGAGGCACCCCGAGTATCCAGCCCCATCTGCAGCCTGTCAGGTATGCCTGGCCCCCAGGGGAAGGGGCAGGGGGGCAGGCAGTGGGGTCGCTGTGGGTGTTCTTTATGAGTCTTACCCTTGGGTCCCCAGGACTGAAGTCACAAAGTGAAGGATGGGTAGATGGCCTTGGCCGCCATCACTTTTCGTGTTCCAGGGCTAAGCCAGACCTTGAGCTCATTCTTTATTTACCTGCATGAGCTCATCGGAGGCCTTGCACCAGCCCTGCAAGGTACATGTGTTGGCAGATGAAGAACTGAGTTTCAGAGAGATAAGGTGACTTCTTGAAGGTCACACAGCCATCCGGAAGCAGGAGTGGGGACCTCTGACATCGAGGCCTGTGCTAGATCTCCTTGTCCACAGATGGGGTTTCCGATGGTGGGGAGGTTTATAAAAGGGGTCTGTGTGTGTGTGTGTGTGTGTGTGTGTGTGTGGGTCCCCAGGGGGCCGTGCCTCACCCATCCAGACTGATATATCTGCGTCCATATTCTCTGGCTTGGGTCCCCACCCTCTCTGCCTCACCTTCACCCCCTGAAGCTTCTGGGATTAGTGAGAATGGCAGCTTTGGCGGGGGGCTTAATCCCCTGGAGGTTGTGACTCAGCAGCCCACCGGCTGGAAGTGGGTTTTTAGAGGACCCTCTCTTTTCCCTGTGGCTGCAAACAACTGACTTGGGGCAGCCTGGGTGTGATTCTGAGTTTTCCCAGCTGGTGGCGCTGTTCTGCCTTCGCATCCTTCCTGGGAACCAGCCTGAGCACCAGGCAGGTCAGTGCCCAGGATGGGCTGCACCTGACTCTTGCCGATGGTGACAGCGTCCCCCTCCCTTCCCCTGCTGTGCTGAAGGAGAAGCTGGAAAGAGGAGCTGACCTTCAGTGTCTGTCTGACAGTGCAGTCCCTTCCCTGGAGCCAGGACAGAGGGGCTTTGGAGGGTGGGGAGGAAAGTGAACCAGGCTTCCTGCTTTTGTATCCCTTTTGGGGGGTGTAAGTGCTTGTGACTTCTTGTCCCAGGCTGTCCTTGGGTCAGCATTGTCCTGGGGTCTGAGCCCCACATAAGTGGCTGCTGGGAGAAGCTTATCACGGGAACAAGGAGTGGCGGGGGCTCAAGGTCCAACTCACACTGGGCTCCTTTCCCCTGACCTCTGTTCCATCTGCCACTCAGTCCCCTCTCGGTCATCCCTCCAGGGAGAGGCCATTGTCATCTGGCCCCTTTCCATCCCCATTTAAGCACCTGGGACCTGACCAACCCTAGTGGAGATCTGGATTCTTCTAGGTTTCTCGGTGTCCTGGGGCTGGTATTCCCCAGCGCCAGAGTCCCCATCCCTTTAAAATACCCTGGCCAGTGCCCATGGTATCCTGCTGCGGTGGAAGGTTGACCAAATGGAATCCAAGTGTGGCCGACCTCAGGTAGAGAGGGCAGTGACACCAGAGGTGACAAGGTGCAGCGTGGGAGGGTGCGGCTGCCTCCCGAGGCCAGAGGGGGCTTCCCCAGTGCATCCTGGACCCTTCGCCTGGAGGAAAATCCTGGAGAGGTGTCAAGATGCGAGTCCCCTGCTCCCCTTACCCGGGGCCCAGGGGAGGGCCAGCTGCCCAGCCCTGGGGTCTCCCCCACCTCTTCTGAGAACCACCCACCACAATAGTACCAAAGACTCTGCACTCCCTTCATTTCCTGGATCCTTAGAAACAGGGAGGCCACAGCCGAGAAGCAGCTCTGCAGGTGATAGGGGAGCCAGAGGCGGGGACAGCCAGGGAAAGGAGGACAGGAGCCGGCCTGCCTCCGGGGGCTGGAATGCACACTGTGGTCTGGCCCACCTGGAGCCTCCAGGAGCATGTCACCTGAGCTTCCTTCTCTTGGGAGGCCTCCCGCCCCCTCCAGAGCTCCAGCAGAGAAGACGGCCGTCCGGGGTGCGGGGACCACCCGGCCTGGCTCTCTGTCCTTTCACAGGTTGAATCACAGGTTGACGGGGACCTGGAATTGGGGTCCTCGTCATTTGGTTGTGACACGGTCTGAGGTCCTCGCCAGCCCCTGCCCAGCTGTCTGTCTGGTGCTCAGGCTGGCTGCATGGGCTTTGCCATGGGAACCTCTGGCCTGGGCCCTGGGCTGGGGATCAGCCATGCTCCGTGGCCTGGATGTGGGGAACCCACGAGGTGTCGGGGTGCAACTACCTGGTGCTTGTATCGGGGGATTCTGATGTGGGCCCCCATCTTCCCACAGTCTCCCTAGAAACCTGAGTGTGAGCCGGACCATGGAGGACAGCTGTGAGCTGGACCTGGTGTACGTCACCGAGAGGATCATTGCCGTGTCCTTCCCCAGCACAGCCAATGAGGAGAACTTCCGGAACAACCTCCGGGAGGTGGCCCAGATGCTCAAGTGCAAACATGGAGGCAGCTACCTGGTGAGGAGAGGGCACCCTCCATCTGGTGCCCCTCTGCCCTTTCATCTGCGGGCGGCCTCTTCACTACTGTCCCCCGGTCCCCGGCCAGTGTGTCCTCTTTCCTTTAGCTCTGGAATCTCATGTGGCCTGAGTCGACACTCCCTTTCCTGCCTGAGTCTATCTGAGGAGTGTACCTGCAGCCAGAGTGTCGCATTGGGAAGTGTGTGTGTGTGTGTGTGTGTGTGTGTGTGTGCACGCGCGTGTGGACCAGAAGAGAATAACACCCCTAGTTCATGTCCTTAAGCACTTGCTATAAGCCAGCCCTGTTCAGCCCTGGAAAGGGGACCCTTGCTGGAGCAGAGAGATGGGGTATTTGCCTCAGGCCACGGGGTCAGTGGCAGACCCAGTCCAGCATCCGTGCTTCTGAGAAGTCTTAGGGCAGAGTCGTGGTTACATGTGTCTTTGGAGACCTGGTGGCTGGCTCAGAAGACACCTGACGTGGGTGGGTGGCTGGTGAAGGTCCCCTCGAATGCAGGAAGGCTGACCTGGCCCTGGCTCCAGGTCCGTGTTGCAAGGGGGTGCATGTGAGCTGGACCCACAGGCCACTTGTCCCCTTGAAGGAGTGCTGCAGGGGAGCAGAGGTGGGCGGGAGGAGGCCGTGAGGGTCCCAGGGTTGGGTAATGGACGACCACAAACTGCATGGCTTCAAACGACAGGCGCTTAGTGCCTCTCTGTTCTGGAGGCCAGCAGCAGAAATCGGGGCATCCTCAGGGCCATGCTCCTCTGAATCCCCGAGGGAAAGTCCTTCCTTGCCCGTTTGCAGCTTCTGGTGCTCCCTCTGGCAGGCTCCCCTTGGCTGGGTGCATCTCTCGGTTCTCTGCCCCCTTCACATGGCTCTGTTCCCTGTCTCTGTGCATCCTCCTCCGACTGTGAAGACATTAGTCATCGGGTTTAGTGCCCAGCCTAAATCCAGGATGTCTGCTATCAAGATCCTCAACTATTACAAAGGACCTATTTCCAAATAAGGTCACATTCTGAAGTTCTGAGTGGGTGTGAATTTGAGGGGCACCGTTCAACCCACGGTGGAAGCTCGTCCACCTGCTGTGTTGGGGCATTGTTAAGAACCGGGCTTTAAACGTCCAAAAGCCAGGGTTCCAATTCTGGCTCTGTGCTCACTGCTTCTATGATCTGCCTCAGGCTTCCCCTCTGTAGAATGGGCCTAGTAACACTCTCCTTTTTAGGGCTATTGGGAAGATAGGTCGGGTTGGCAGAGGGCAAGTGCTCATTGAGTGGCAGCCATGGTTAATATAACAAGGTGTGTTTCTTTATGGGGTGCAGGAGTGGACGAGAGCCGCCTGAGACCCCTCCTTACTTTAGGAGTCCAGGATTCCGTGTCACTTCTGTGCTCTGTCCTGGCTCCCTCCCTCCTGCTGGGTGTAGGTTCTGCTCTCCCAGGAGGTGACAGTGGTTTCCCCAGCTGCGGGCTGGAGGTGGACAGCTCTGCCCACCCCTTAGGGGGTGGAGAGAGCACTGCCAGAGACTGGGGGCTCCACAGGGTGCAGTCAGGCATGGAAGGGCCTGAGCTGGGAGGGGTGCGTCCCTGGTGTCTGGTGAAGAGACGTTGCATTGTCTCAGGAGGAGGCTCGGAGTCAGCATGGGACGCGGAAACCAGAGCCAGCCACCAGCTGTCCTTCAGAACCCGGGCTCCCTTCCACCTTTCCCTCCCTCTGGTCAGGATGTCCGCGCGCGGAGGGGCATGCCTGGGGCCTGCATCTCTCTTTCCCCTCTGCCCTGAGGACCTCATTTGAGTCCTTGTTGGTCAGGGCGTGTCCATGGGTGCATCCAGCTCCATCGGGGAGAGCAGGTTCGAGGCGGCACAGGTGGTCCAGCAAGCCCCGGCCCCAGCGCTCAGCGGGCTCCTGAGAGGAGTGGCAATGACACCACCCTCCCCATGTGACCGGGGCTTCCTGGCACCCTCTGCTCTTCACCCACGGTCGCTTTCTCTGTCTCCTCCTAGCTGTTCAATCTCTCTGAGCGAAGACCTGACATCACGAAGCTCCATTCCAAGGTGAGCTGACGGCCGTTTTGGGGTGACTTTCCTCCTGGGAGAGGAGAAGAGACCCCCCTCCCGTGCTTCCCTCATTGGAATCTTGGGGGAAAGCACCAACTGACAGCTGGAAAAAACTACTTAGAGTCCAAGTGCCGTCTTATGTCTGGAAAAGGACAGTAACACATTGACGGATTCCGTAATGCAAACTGCGGAGGGCAGAGCTCCGTGCAGTGGCCTCCTACCCGGGTCCGCCCCCTGGGGAGCCGCGAGGCCTCTGGGTGGGCGGAATTGTGAGATTTCATGCGGTTGGGAATGGCAGCTCTGATGTTCCTGCCACAGTGACTGCTTGGTCTGCTCCATGGGTTGTGCGGGGCTTTGCCATGAATGTCTGCCCCCAGCCTGGATTCTGGGGCCTGTTGCTATGTGATCTTGGGCTGGTGGCAGACTTCCCTGAGATTGCACCCCTGAGAGTGGGTGGTCTGGGTTAGGTGTGCTCCAGGGGACCCTCTAGCTCTCGTTTAAAGTCCTGTGAGTTTGGAAAAGTTCTGAGGAGCCAGAAGACCTGCGGACGGCTTTCCACTGGCTCCCAAAGTGGATGGCCTGACTGTCCAGGGCCTGGAGGAAAGCGGTGAAGCCACAGAGCCCTTTGCCTTTCCTCTCCTGTCCTGCTCCAGGCCTCGGGGCCGTCGGTGGCAGGGGAGCTTGAGGGCCATGTGCGTAGCTCCTCTGAATGTTTGAGCTCAGTCACGAGCTGCAGTCCTCGGGGTCCTGGGCTCCAAGCCTTTGCTTGGCACATAGATGAGGAAACTGAGGCTGGGAGGGGGGACACGGCTCGCCTTAGACCCCACAGTGAGTCTAGGATGGAGCTGAGACGTGGGCCTGGGGGCTCTACACCTTGCCTCCCAGCAGGACTGACAAGCAGGGAGGGACTGTTGGGCTGCTGGGGCCACCTGGTACTGGTGGCTGGTGCGCAGTGCCCCGGTGGCCGGGTTGACTCCAGGGCGTCCTCTTCTCTCTCCTGGCTCCGGCCTCAGGTACTGGAATTTGGCTGGCCTGACCTGCATACCCCGGCCCTCGAGAAGATCTGCAGCATCTGCAAGGCCATGGACACCTGGCTCAACTCAGACCCGCACAACGTCGTCGTTCTACACAACAAGGTGGGGGGTGTGGTGGTGGAGGGGGGTGCGCATGCGTGAGCACAGACTGAATGGACTTGGAGGAGTGCGCGTACCTGCCTGTCTTGGATTGCATGAGCACCCAAGTCCATCGATGTGTTTTTACCATTCTAGGGGACAACAGATTCTGTCCCAGGGGTCACCTCCAAGAAGCAGGGGACACCAGCTTAGGTCTTCGGCTATCTTTGGAGACTTGCTCCCCCTTGCCTCCCTCCCCGGCGTCTCCTTCCTCCTGCTCTCTCCTGGAGCCATGCCCCTCTCTCCAGCCCTTGCTCCCTTCCCTCCTAGGTTTCTGGACAGGCTCGGGGGCGGCAGGGCCGGCCTTAGACATAAAGCCTTCTTCCTCTTCCAGGGAAACCAAGGCAGGATAGGGGTGGTCATCGCGGCTTACATGCACTACAGCAACATTTCTGCCAGGTAAGGGTGCCTGGAGCCTCCCGTCCTCTAACCATCAGCAATAGGACACCCCTTTTCCCACCCACCCATGGCCGCTGCCTTCCCTGGGCTGGGAGGATCTGTTAGAGGGCATGAGAGGTAACCAGGGGGCGTGGGAGACTCAGAACAGGAGATGGTGCATGCCAGGGCCCTGAGGCAGCAGCCTGTGCACGGAGGACAGGAGCGAGGGTATTCACCCATCTGGGGCCCTGGTGGGCCGCAGTGGGGGCAACCCCAGTCACGAACACCCCATCCAGCGAGCTTTTGGGGGCCACTTGTCATTACCCAATTGCCTTCTGATTCCCTGGAAGAGCAGGTAGAAACGCTGGATCAGATCTGAACCTGGTGGAATCCTCTAGAAGTTATGTTATCCATCCCTCTGCCTATGGCCAGCAGGGCCCTGTTCCCACTGGGTGTTTTAGAGCAAGAATAGGAAACAGACAGTGGATGATTCCGGTTCTGGTTCCGTTCTGCAGGAGGCCAGAGATTCATCCACTTCCTCATTTATGTGTCTTGGCCACAACTGTTGAGCAACCCTTATGCCTTGCACCATTAGTAGGGAAGACTGCAGAGGGCGAAGTCCTTGCAGACGTTAACTAAGCAGTTACATCATAGCATCTGGTGGCGGTGACTGAGAAAGAATAGAGACAGGGAAAGACAGCGAGGGAAGGGTGCGTGGTCAGGGAGGGCCTAGGGGACAGGCGACCTGGTGCAGACACCCCACGCAGGGCTGAGTCCCGTGAGGTCTGGGGAGGGGGAGCAGGCTGAGTGCAGGGGCAGGACCCAGCCCATGGGGGTGTGGTGTAGGAGGCTGGGGCCTTGGAGCCAGGGAAGGAGAGGGGGAGGGGAGCTGGAAGGACAGAGCATTCGGCCTTGAGGGCCTTGCTGAGGACCTTGGAGTTTATTCTAAGTCTGTGGGGAAGTCACAGGAAATCACAGGAGAGTCAAGAGAAGCTGTGTGATCTGTCTTTTCATTTCAAAATGTTCTCTCTGAGCGCTGTGAGGGTGAACCTCTGGCAGAGGGCTAGTTTGGTGACCTGGGAAGTCCAACCCAGCGGCCTCTTCTTAGTGACAAACATGCCCCGTGTGCCTCTGTGTGTTCTCATGTGCACCTTTTTGGGTGTCACCTCACTGAAGCTCCATAAAGCTTTTGAGGAAGACGCAATGATCAGCCTCACTGGACAGGTGAGGGAGATGAGGTAGAGAAGGGCACACGGGGTCCGTAACGGGGGACTTGGTGTGGCTCCCAGGCCCCCTGGCTCTGAAGTCCCAGGCTGAGCACGGCACCTCACAGGTTGGACAGATGCTGGAGCACTCTTCTCCTGAAAGCTTCTCAGCTCAGCAAGCCTGTTCCTCCTGCTGGGCACCAGGGCTGCTGGTGGGCTCTGCAGCTCTAGGAAGCAGGAGTGGGGAGACAAGGGGCCCTGGGGCGTGGGGGTTGGCTTGTCCGACCACTGTCTCTCCCCACAGTGCTGACCAAGCTCTGGATCGGTTTGCAATGAAGCGGTTCTATGAGGATAAGATCATACCCATTGGGCAGCCATCTCAGAGAAGGTGGGTCTCCAGGGCTGTGTGTGTGTGTGTGTGTGTGTGTGTGTGTGTGCACTTCCTGTCCCTGGGGAGTCTTGTGTACTCACAGGGGGTAGAGCGGCTGCTTAGGGAGAGGTGTGTCCAGCACACGTGCTCAGTCTGGAGTGGCGTGAGCTTGAGGACACAGGTGAGCCCATGGGCAGGCTGAGTGTGCCCACAGCTTGGCCTGGCACTTGGTTCCTGAGGCCTGGGTCAGAGCGCAGACTGTCCCAGGAGGGCATCAGTCTGGGGATAGAAGGTGCCTCTTTAAGAAGGCACATGCTGTCCTGGCCCTGGTGGCCGGATGGCTTCAGCGTGTGGATGAGTCTCCAGGAAGCTGATGTCACTGCCACCCTCATGGAAGGTCACAGAGACTCAAGATAAGAGTCACCTTCTATTGGGAGAGTTTAGAATATTTCTTGGGGGGCCCAGAACCACATGGGCGTGTTGGAGTCTCCTCAGAGCCCAGGCAGACGCAGGGTAGGGATGGATTTATTCATTCATTTGGCAAAATCCAGGTTCTCTACTTCAGCCCCACGCACTGGGACATCTAGGTGAACAGGACACAGTCCCTTCTCTTAGTGAGCTGGTGGTCGGTTGAGAGAGATGGACTTTAAACATGTGACCCTGCATATAGGACAATGCCATAGAGCAGTGAGTCCTCAAAGGGAAGAGAATGGACCGCTGCAGAGACCCAGGGCTGGTGGCAGGGGAATGGGGCTGTTCTCATGGGGACAGCTTGGAGGACCTCTCAGAGGAGGCAATTTCGCACGCTGAGATAATGCTTAGCTACCATATGAAGATCTAGGCATCGTCCTTTGACAGATGAGAAACCTGAGCATAGGGAGGGGACATGGCCAGGAGAGAGGCCAGGCAGAGCTGGACGGTACGTGGAGGACTAGAAACAACCAGGTGGGACCTCTGGGTGTGCTGCCCACTGACCTGAGGGATTCTGCTGCGTGGACAGCATGTTCAGTCATGCCTGGTCCAGAGGAGGGGATGGGCAATGTCAAGGCCAGGTGGACACTGGGGGGGCTACAGGCAAGATGGTGGGTTAACACAAGCCCAAACTGTTAGCCTAGAGCGCGGGACTCAGGCCCCTTGGCTGTGTGGCCAGGAGTCATGGGCCTGCCACCTGCCTGTGACGTGTCAGCACTGTCCTACTCACTGAGGGTACAGTGCTAATTTGTCAAGCAAGGACTCATGGAGCTGAGCTTCTACGGGATGACACCCAGTTTCCCAAACAAAAGGTCATTTTGGACAGTGACAAGTGGCTTTGAAACAACAAACAAGCAGAGCTTCCATGAGAGCCGGAGGGCGAGGGGGCAGATTCCAATGGACAGGCCTCCCAGGAGGTGACAGGAGGCAGGATCTGAGCGGGATAGGGACCAACCCAGTGAAGGATCCAGGCAGAGGTGCAGCAAGGTCAAAGGCCTGGAGCGCAGAGCATCCTGGCTGCTTTCTAGCCCCTTAGGTTCAAGGCCTGGGCCTCCCCAGCCTCTTCCTGCAGAGGGACCCAGTGTGTGTCCCACCATCCTCACCTCGCGTGGCTGGCCTGAAGGGGCTGCCACGGACTGTTCCTGCCATTGCGGCAGGAAGCCCAAGCAGAAGCAAGTGTGTCCTCAGGCATCCCAGTTGTCACAGAAGAGCTGAAGGCCAACCTCTGGGTCAGCAGTCAGAGATGGGCGTCTTTCTGGGCAGACAGTTCTGGCTGGGCCTCTGGACGGGGCAGCCGTGGGTCAGTGAGAACCTTCCCAGAAAGGGGAGTGCTGTGGTCAAGGACCAGCTCCCTGGTCCCTGGTGGCCATGCATGGCTGCTGCTGGTCCTTTTCCTGGTATGGCCCTTGACCTTGAAGGATGAGAGCTACGAATGGAGAAGCTGGCTGTCCTGATGCTTGGAGGTGGTGAGCAGCAGCTCTGATGGGGGCAGCAGAGGTCTGGGATGGAGAGGCACTGCCCTTACCCCTCAGCAAGGGGGTTGTCCGGGTGTTCCCCTGTGCTGGGGCACGGGGCTGCGGGGCGTGTCTGTGTGTGCACACTATCTGTGGCTGCCCGGCAGCTCCTATCTGCCCCTGCATCTGCGGAGGGCCGGGCCTCTATCTGCCCACACGTGGAGTGCAGTTGCTGGTTGCCCATGCGTCTGCTGCCGCTTTCCCGCCATGTTGCTGGTGCGGCTTGCAGGGAATCAGCAGCTGGAGGAGAGGAGAGCGGGAGGGGCAGAGGGAGGGGCTGTGACTGTAGCTCCTCCATTTATTGTCACAGCCCTGCTCATTGTCCCCAGCACACAGACACATCCTGTTGGCAGATCTGATGGGAACCGCCATTCTGGGTTTCCGGTTTGAATAATGGGACTGGGGGCTGGGCAGGGGCCTGAATAGGAGCTGGTGCTGCCCATCAGATTATCTTGCTTGGGTAGTCCAAGGTGGCCCCACCCAGCCTCAGGGACAGAGGCCCACTGGTCTGGAGGTGGGCCAAGGAGCCAAGAGACAGGCGGGGAGCATTGTCATGGTCAAGCAGTTCCTGTCCCACCCCCTAAAGTCCTGTTGGCTCCTGCAGAGCTTCAGGATGTACTTGGTTGGCCTCCCTGACTCAGCCTGGCACCCTCTGGCCAGTCAGAAAGAGAGGAAGTGCTGACCCATCAATGGTTAGTTCTGCCCCCAGTCCAGACGGCGACCTGAAGCCCAGGCTGCTCCCCCTCTCCCTCCCACCCTCAGCGCTGTGTGTTCTTGCTGTGTGTCTCCAACAACCCTTTCTGGGCCTGCTTTCCCCTCACTGTTTAGAAGAAGGGAACGTGGGCTAGTTTCTTCCATTCTTCCAACAAGATCTTTATTTTAAAAATTGGGGGATGCAAACCCTAGACAGAGGGATACTTATTCAAGTTAGTTATCACAAAAATCAAGTCAAGTGACAGAAACTGATGGGCTCATACACTTTAGTGACATAAAGCGAAGGACTGTCATGGTTAAGCTCTTGGTATTTGCTCGACTCCCGTGGATGGTGGGGCCTAATGGGAAGCTTAGTATCAGGGTCCACATTGGCCTGGTTTGGCTCGGTGTGAGCTGTTAGAGCTGCTCGTGCAGCCTGCCTTGTGCAGGAGGGAGCTGCTAAAGGATGAGATGCCTGTCACTGTCAGGGGTCACGGAGGAATTTTGGTCCCCAGGAGGTTCCTGGGCAGCAAGGGAAGCAGGAAAGAGATGCTCACATTTACCACCAGGGGGCGCAGGAGAACGCCAAGTGGGCTGTTAGCTCTGACCCAGCTCCGAGTCCTTTACCTGCTGTTTTCCCTGTGGGGCTCGGAGCGGCCCGCTAGGCCTGCCCTGGGGCCCAGCCCTCAGCTGCCAGGAGCCCTGGGTGGGGGTCAGAGTTGTGGGGTGCTGAGTAAGAGGGAGGTGGAAGCCACGTTCTTGCAGATGGAAAACCAGGTCCCTCTCCCTGAAGTCACCTCTCCCTGCCCCAGGTATGTGCATTACTTCAGCGGCCTGCTCTCTGGCTCCATCAAAATGAACAACAAGCCCTTGTTTCTGCACCATGTGATCATGCACGGCATCCCCAACTTTGAGTCCAAAGGAGGTACCTGCCCCGAGCCCTCCCTGGGGCCTCCCTTGCCTTCCTCCCTCCTGCCTGGGGTCTTCAGAGGCAGCCTTGGGGTGGGAGGAAGCCAGTCAGCAGCAGAGGCCTAAGGCTTCCACTGGAGCCTCACCTGCATCACTTCCTGAATCTTTTTGAGCTCCAGTCTATTTATCTGCAAAACGAGCTTGGTATTTGCAGTCCCTTCTGGCAGATGATGTTGGCGGTGGCAATGTCTTGTCCACTTAAAATGCCTTCTGAATAAAAGTTAGTATTTCTTCTCCTTTCTGCTTGCTATTTTTCTCTGTCCTCATACCCCCTTCCTTTCTTCCTTCCTTTCTCTCTTTGTTCTCTCCTCCTCCTGCTGTTCCTAACACCACCTTCTCTGACAGGGTGTCGGCCTTTTCTCCGCATCTACCAGGCCATGCAACCTGTGTACACGTCTGGCATCTAGTAAGTATTCTGCGGGAGGCCTGGGAGGGCCACGGCCCAAGGCTGGGCACCGGGAAGGTGGGAGGGAGGCAGTCAGGGAGGCCCCCGCAGGCCTGGGCAGAGGGGCAGAGGGAGAGCAGCGGCACTCTCTTCCTCTGCCACCCTCTGTGCCTTAGCAACATCCCGGGGGACAGCCAGACGAGCATCTGCATCACCATTGAGCCAGGACTGCTCCTGAAGGGAGACATCTTGGTGAGTGCCGCCCTCTGTCTCAAGGCCACCCTTTTCCCTTTCCGGCTCCTTCCTACCCTGGGGACAGGACAGCCACTCCCGGTGGGCTCAGGACTTGGAATTGAGGGCTCCCAGGGTTCCTTCAAGACCTTCCGGTCTCAGACAGCCCTGGCCTGGTCCCTTCCCTGCCCTTGTGTGGGCGTCCCTTCCCTGGGCCGACCTTTTGTTCTGGGACATCTCCAGGGAAACCCAGTCGGTGTGAGCTGACCACCTATCTCCCTCTTGGTGACAAGGACCCCCCTCCATTCTAACTTGAGCCCTCTCTGCTGCAACTTCAAACCTGCTTTTCCCTTTTTGGATTCCAATCTGTCTGTGGGAACTTCTTGGCAGGACACTTTTTGTTCCTCCAAGTCTCTCAGGTGTTCTAGAAGCTTCCCCAGAGAGTTCTAAGTTCCTGTTTGGTGTTGGTGACTGCTCTTTCCTGGGTTTGCGGTGACCCTGTGGGCTCCGTCTGTGGAGCAGACCAGGCTCCCTGAGACCCCACCTCCCACCTCTGTCTCTCCCCGCCACCAGCTGAAGTGCTACCACAAGAAGTTCCGGAGCCCCGCCCGCGATGTCATCTTCCGCGTGCAGTTCCACACCTGTGCCATCCATGACCTGGGGGTTGTCTTTGGGAAGGAGGACCTGGATGAGGCCTTCAAAGGTGGGCCCCAGGGTGGGCTGGGCGGGGCTCGTGGCAGGGAGGAGAGCTCAGGTTCAGGAGATGTGGTGGGCATGGGGGCCACCATTTTTGAGCCACATGGTCTGCCAGGATCTTCTTGGTGACAGCGGGAGGGCATTGAGAGAGATTTAGGAGCCAACCAAGGCAAGTGGCGAGGACTCAAGTGGAGGAGGTCCCTCCTCAGTCCCTGGCCTGTTTTGTGTCTCATCCTCTCCGAGGACTTGGCCCATGTCTTCTTTGCCTGGTCCTCCCGGTTGGCCTTATTGGCAGACATTTTTTCAACCTTGGCTGGGCATCTGTACCAGGCTGAGTACTAAGTGCCGGGGAATCAGAGTCAAACACCACGTGCTCTCTGTTGGTGGAGCTAAAAGTCTAGGGGAGGCAGCTCTAGAAGGGACCGTTACCCCCCGGGGCAGAGGAGCCGTAGTGGAAGGGCTGTGGCAGCAGAAGGCAGGAGGAGTGGGCAGGGAAGGTTTGGTGTCTTTTGCTGCTTTCTTCTGTGCATCTCAGGTCCCATCTATATTACGCTCAGGCCTGGGCTTATAGATACACCACCCATCCCTCCTCCCTCCCTCCAGCCACCAGCACATTCATTTATCCAACTGTTCATATACCCATCCACCTATCCAGTCATCTACCCACCACTTGCCCATTCATCCATCTACCTATCCATCTATCTATCCATCCATCCACGCACCCACTCACCTATTCATCTATCCATCCATCTCTCTAACCACCTACCTGCCTACCCATTCATCCACCCATCCATCTACCCATCCATCCACCTGTCCATCCATCCCCACCCACCTGCCCGCCCACAGAGTCTAAATGACAGGTGTGTGCTAGACGCTAGGGATTCAAAGAGAAGTCAGGCCTCTGGGAGCTCACAGTCTCCTGGGAGAGAGACATGCAAACCTGACCCTATGAAGTGAGGCCTGCAGGACTGGACACAGGCGCTGGCCTGGTGGGGTCCCACAGAGCAGATGTCGCCTTGCTATGGTCCTCTTCCTGCAAGCAGTAGACAGTGATCAGCATCCAGACTGCGCTCAGGCAGAGAGCAGAAGGAGACTGGGCCGCCCAGAAGGGGCAGGTCCCCTCAGTAAAGTCTGCTCATTCAGGGCAGGGATGGCTCTGAGATGGGCTCTCCTTGTATCTGAGCCCGGAGGGCAAAAACAGATGGCGTTCTAATAATTACAGAGCAGACAGTCACCGCCATTGGTCTTGAGGAGGAAAAATAAAGATACTGCTGATAAAGCAAATATGAGGTTGGGGAGAAGCTGAGCAAAGGAGGTTCCCAGATCAAGAAGTAGAGGCTGAACTATAGTATATACAGCTTCAAAGGTAATTGGTGGGATAAACAAATGATAAGCTAACCAGATCTGAGAAGAAAGGAGGTGGGGTATAGGAGCCAAATCATTCAGCTTCATAGTGGTGAATCAATGAGACGATTTAAAATGTATATAGAAATACTGGCATGAAATAATGGGTGGTATTTAGAATCATAAAGGTAGCTTGCTTGTAGAACTCAAAATAGAAATGGCTAGAAGTGGTACCTTAGGCAGGTAGGACTGGGGCTCTGGTGGGCAGGACATGGGATTTTGGTGTTCATGTGTAATGAGTTTAGATACATATTAAATGCTATTTTATTATTAACCATGTGTATGTGTATGAATTAATTTTTTTTCCAGAAGAAATGAGTTTTTTCTGGTTAATATTTATGGAGCCCTTTTTGGGAATTCATTGCCCATTTTTTTCGCTTCTTTTTTTTTTTAGATGACCGATTTCCAGAATATGGCAAAGTAGAGTTCGTGTTTTCCTACGGGCCAGAGAAAATTCAAGGTATACATCAAATTAAAGTTCATTCTTGCAGTCCTTCCCTCCATGCTCCATGCCCCTGTCTTGCTCCCACCATCCTCCCACTGGGCTGCTTTACAATGACCAAGTTACCTGTGATTGAGAGCAGGCCAGCAGTAAAGGATCTTAATATCAGAGTGGACCCCTAGCTAAACATGAACCAGTGACTTACTGTCTGGATAATAAAAATAAAAAAAGCAGACAGAGAGGCGCTGAGTTGGATAAACTGTTCTGGTCCTGTTAGGTCACACCATTTGGTTATATTCAGAAACTAGATGGAGGGAATAGCCAAGGGGGACACTCCAAGGTGCTGGATGGATGATATTTATGTGAACTGAGGTGATTCAACCTGAAGCCCATTTAATAATAGCCTTTAAGCCTCTGGACTCTAAATATGGAGCCCAGTTGTTATTCCTCTTAATTGAGAACAGGATGGGAGGCGATGCAGTTAGGTTACAGGCCGAGGGACTCCAGACTCAAGGACTGCTGGGCCCGGAGGTGACTCGCCCTGAAGGCCAGTCTTGCAGCTGTGCTGTCTCTGAGCTGTCTCTCAGGATGGGGAAGAAACTTGGTCTCTCCCTGCAAGTGTCTGTCGGGAGTGGAGAGCGTGTTAAGTGGGGGCAGGTGCATGACCTTGTAGAGGCTTGTGTCCTCCAGTGTCAAGCCTGTGGCTTCCCTGCCATCACTGACCCCAGGCAACCCAGGAACTGTCCCATAGCCCTTTTCCGGACTCCAGGCCAGATTCGCTGCTCTCTAGGCCGGGCCCCAGGGCCCCACACGAGGAAGAGGCAGATACCTGGCAGGGCTGTCCCCGGCTCTCTCCTGGGGTCTGCATTCCTTAGTGCCCTGTCCTGACGTACCCCCTGACCTGGAGTGAGCCTTTTCAAGAATGCACGCAGTCAGATTCCTGGCTCCTCCACCTAACTGAGGCCACTGCTCCCGCCCGCCCGCCCGCCACGCTCTGGAACCTGAGAAGTCCCTTAGGAGCAGCCTGGGGGGAGCTGTTGGCTTTCTGTTTTTCCAGCTGCTGATCTCTTTCCCTGTCCCTACTGTCCCCTGCCCGCCCCCACCTTTCCCATCCCGCTCAGGCATGGAGCACCTGGAGAACGGGCCGAGTGTGTCTGTGGATTACAACACCTCCGACCCCCTCATCCGCTGGGATTCCTACGACAACATCAGTGGACATCGGGAAGATGGCATGGAGGGTAGGTGGGGACCCGTGTGCTGGCCCTGTCTAGGTTGCCCAGCCCTGGCTCGCGTGGCCTTGGCTTTCTGGGAGAGGTCTGGGAGGTCTCCTTGGAGGAGGTGGCCTTATGTGAAGCTTGCGATACCTCCGTGCTGCAAACAGGGCACTTGTTGCATTTCTTTTAAACCCTCTGCTGCCGGCTGCCAGTGTTCCCTGGGGTCGGTGCGCGGGGAATGCAGACGCCTAGGGCCAGAGAGCTTTCATCCAGGGCCAACGAAAATGTTGGAGAGCTGGAAACCAACCCACCAGCTCTGGGGTGTGGAAAGGAATCTACAGAACTGAAATGGATGCATGGTCTGGCTGCAAAACCTGACATTAAGTCACATGGCCCCTGCAGCGGGGTCAGCTCCGGAGAGTTAACTGGGAGTTCTAGCTGTTTATGTGGCTCATTTGAATGTGCACGAGGGGGTGGAGCCCAGGGACTCTTGGGACATCCTGCTTGGGGTTTGGTCCCAGGCTTGTTCTTCTGACTTGGTGAAAGGACCCCAGAATGTTGGAGCTGGGGGGATCGTCTGGCTAATGGGGGTAACTGAGACTCGGAAGGCAGGACCTCTGATTTATCCCCACGCCCCAGCATCGACTACTTGGTCCCTGCCCCCACGGAAGCCAGCTGGGACCCTGGGCCGTGTGGCTGTGCGGGGTGAGGGAGTGCCAGGCCCGAGGGTTCTCTCTGCCCTCCTTGCTCTGTCGCCTTGTCTCCTGCCCTGATGGCTCTTCTCTGAAGCCTCCTGGGAGAGATTTCAGAATGAGCCCCTGGCATCACGGAGGCAGGACGGGGAGTGGGTGGACGAGATTCAGGGTTCCAGGAGGTGGGTGCTCAGGTGCGGCACTGCAGGTTTGTGGCTTGTCCTCACTACCTACCTGAGCTCCCTGCCCCTTCCCAGTCTCGTCCCCCAGGGCCGAGCGTCCTCAGCCAGAGACACCCACCCACGCCCTCCCTGCTCACTGGGCTGTTCCCCCCCCCAGCTCTGCTCTTCCCTGCACCCCACCACCCTGTGCCAAGTGGCCAGGGAGAAAGCAGAGGGACGGAGGGCCGCCAGCCTCCCTGTTCGTCGTCCTGGGGATGTTTGCATTTTTAACAAGAACACTTGGCAATTTGAAGGAATTTTTAATGCTTCCCGCCTCTGCCTGATGCAGATTCAATGCGATGATAAATGTAAAAACATCTAGTGAACCAAGAAGTGCCAGGCAAATAAAAGGTAAAACAATTAAAGGCACTGGGAGGACGAGGCTGAGGGAGGGAAGGAGAGCAGACGGACGAACCAGAGGAGGCTGGGGACGCGGGAGGCTGGGGAGGAGCACGGGGGCTGGCGTGGAGGCCCTGACTGCTCTCCTGCCCCTGGCCCTGCCTCCTCTTCCCTCTGATCTGCTCCCCCAGGTAGGGGGACAGAGTCACGGGACCTTTGGGACGATGTTAAAGGCCAGCTGTCCTACCAGGACAGAGGGGCTCCTGTCTGGAGGCTGAGAAGCTGGTGCTCTGCCTACAGGGGGCGCTGCTCAGGCCTCTTCTGCCCTCCTACCTGGCCTGGCCTGCTGAGGGCTGGGACAGTCACCAGGGAGAGCCACTCTCTGCTCCTACTGTGTGCTCTCTGCTGCTGGCTGCCCCAGAGTGCCAACGGAGCCAGTCCTCGGGCAGGACAAGTGACAGATCCCAGTCTTGCTCCTGGTTGGTGGCATTTCTGGAAGACTCCATTGTGCTTCCTAGAGGTAAAAGGAGAGAGGGACGCCGGAGGCCTGTGTCTCTCCCTGGTGGTGGGCGACCCCTCACAGCTGGGGTGAGGGGTCTAGAACGCGTGACTCAGTGCTCAGGAGATGCTGGAGGGGGTGTGGCTGTTCCCTGTGGAGGTCCTGGGCCGGCTGGGCAGGCTGACGGGAGGTGCCCTGTGTGTGGGGTGAGCACGCGGGCTCCAGAGCCAACCGCTGGGGGCAGATCCCCGCTCCCCCTCCATAGCGCACCCTCTTGCTCAAAGCATTTAGCCTTTCTGTTTCCTTAGTTTCCATGTCTACACAGTTGGGACAATGTTATTCGCTCTGTGGGATTATCGCAGTGACGTTCATGAGAGGCGGTTTAGTATAGATGCTAAGAATGCAGTGCCTGGAGCCAAACTGCTTGACTTCAAGTCCTTGACAACATGCGGGCCCCTGGGGCCTCTGTCTGCTCATCTGTAAAATGGGAATTACTCAACAAGTGTCTTGGAGTAGCTGTGGGGAGTGACTGTGGTGTTTCCACAGAGTGCCTGACACAGGCCTGTTCCTCAGAGGTCTGCAGACCCGCATGGCCAAGGGCGGAGACTGGATTTACCACGCTCCACTCTTGGTGCCAAGAACTCAGTGGTTGCCGTCCCCGTGAGATGGGTGGTGCTATCTGCCCTGATGGGGAAACTGGGGCACAGATGGGTTCAGTCAGCAGCTCAAGGTTGCCAGGCAAGTCGAGGGCAGCTCTGGGCATGTGCTGACCATGGTGCCGTCCAGGGGGGCTGACCTCCCTGGGGGCCTGTTCTGGGCATCTCGCTCTGTGCTGATATCTTGGTCCTCACTGAGTTTGGGTGAGGTCTGCCTCTTTCTGAACCCCACCACTCACTCCTGAGCAGAAAGGTGCCCCCACCCTGCCTCTCAGGAGGCAGGAGGGTTAGACCAGGTGGAGGGGCCATGGTGTGTAGCACCCAGAGACCACAGGCCCCCTCAAGGCAGGCTGGGTCTCCCTCCCGGTACCTGCGGGGTGCTCAGGAGTGCCCTGGAGGGGCCAGCCTCCCCAGGTAGGTGGAGGGTGGTTGTCCAACGTGAGATGGGGCCATTGCTGGAAGTGGCCACCTCTCCTGTCTGTTTCATGTGTGCTGGAGGAGGGGGACAGGAGAGGAGGGGACAGGAGAGGCCAGCCAGTTCCTCCAAAACCCACTGTGACTCAGAGCGGGAGGCGGGGCATCAATCGTCTGTCTCTGGCCTTTGTCCTCTTGAGTGACCTGCGTCCGCACTTGGCCCCTCTCTCGGCCGCACTCTGCTCAGAGCTCCTGGTGACCCTGACTCGACCACGTTTCAGGAACTGCTCTGTTGACCCCCTTCCTCGCTACCTGCAGCTCCCTCTTCCCGAGCTCCAAGTTCGACTCAGGCCCTGGGGCATGGGGACACTCAAAGTCCCCTTTCACTGCCTCAGTACATCCCTGATCAGTCTTGATGGCAAAAGGAAGGAAGAAAATCCATATCAGTCCCCTGATTCTCAGGAGCCCGACCTCCCAGGCCGGGGTGGCTGAGGTGGGACATGACGCCCGTCTGACACCCTCCTGCCACAGCGAGGTTCCTTCCCATGAAGGAACCCACCGTGGCGTTAGCTCGGCTCAGGCTGTACCAGCTCCATGGTCCCCATCAGGACCTCAAGGTCAGCAAACCTGCAGGGCCGTGACGTAAGAGGTGTGATGCTTGGATCTGGGAGAGTTTGACTCCAAATCCCTTCCTCCCACAAAGCTCAGCTCCCACCCCACAACTGACGGGGGATCCTCCAGGATGTAGTGCAGCTCACCACCACCCAGGACAGGCCCAGGAAGTGGAACCACAGAGAAGAAGAGGGACAGTTGGGCTCTGGGTGGTGACCTGCGGCTGCAGTGGCCATGGGTGCTTATGAAGGGCAGTTGAAGGACGAGGTGGGCGGGGCTTGGTGGTACATGTCGGTAGTGGCAGCTTCTCTGGAGGCTGAGGCAGGAGGATCACTTGAGCTAGGAGCTTGAGACCAGGTAGTGAGGCCGTGCCTAAAGGAAGGAAGGGAGGGAGGGAGGAAGGAAGGAAGGAAGGAAGGAAGGAAGGAAGGAAGGAAGGAAGGAAGGAAGGAAGGAAGGAAGGAAGGAAGCCGGGGTGGTGGCTCCGTGGTAGAGTGACTGCCTAGCATGCTGCCCTGGGTTCAGTCCCAGCACTACATAGAAAGAAAGAGGTGCAAGTTCAATGTCTAGGATCTCTGACTAGACGCATGGCTCCAGGGGGCAGAGGAGTGCCTGCCATCTTGGGAGACCCCTCTCTCCTAGCAGAGCCGTCTGGGGACTCGATGGGCTGATGTCTCATCTGCTCTGGCCCCGGAACAGTGCGCCGCAGTCTGGGGGCTTGAAGAACAGAACTGATTCCTCACTTTTCTGGAAGTGAAGAAAGATCAGGTGTGAGTGGCTTGTAGATGCCGTCTCCTCTCTATGTCTTCGCACAGTCTCCCCACTACGTGTCTGTGTCCTAATCTCCTCTTCTAAGGACAATGGCCAGATTGGAGTGGGCCTGTTTTAGTGACCCCATTTCACCTTAATCACCTCTTTTAAGATCCAACCTCCAAATGAAGCGGACTTCTGAGGTCCTGGAGTTAGGACGGCAGCGTGTGAATCTGAGGGGGACAGTTCAGTTTCCTGGGTCCCAGGCAGCTGGATGCCCAGGGCCTCTGGTCCTGAGGGGGAGGAGGTGAGGGTCTAGGGTGGGTCTGGGGAGAGACCGGCCCCCACCGACCTCCTCCTTATGGCTGCCTCTGCCTCTCTCCAATTTGGTCTGGAGCCTGCCAGCTCAGCGCCCTGGCTGACACCACCGTTTGCAGCTTCCAGAAGCCCCATTAGTTCCTTGGCCTGAGTTCTGAAGCCCCATGCCCGAGTCCCAGTGCCCCATGGGTGGGAGTGGGGTGGCATTTTTTGCCTATGCTGCACAGAGCAGTTTCCAAATTCCTCCGAGCGTCCAGGGCTAGCCTTCTCGGAAACAAGGTCTAGGCACAGGGTAGGCGGCCCGCTGCCTTGGAGAAACCCAGAGCCTGGCCGGGCCCTTTCCTGGCTGCCCACCCTCCACTGCCCCCATTCCCTGACCTACTTGGGCACTGAGCCGTTGTTAAGGAGGGGACTAGGGGCTGGGACTGGGTAGTGAGGGGTGGAGAGATGGCCGCTCAGGACATGTGGGAGGGAGCAAGTCCCTGGGACTGGCTGGGGTGGCTAGTATCCATCCCCCCTGGGC